GCTGGAAGGGGACATCTTTGGCTTGGTCATGATTTTTATTATTTAATCTCTAACTTCCAGAATCAGACTCTGTGTTTACTCATGAAAATGGGAGACAATCTAGTAAATAATCCGTTACGTGAAATGGCAAAATGTGGTTATCTGTTATAACATATTAATAATATCAAAAGTGGGTGACTTTTAAAAAAAGATACATTCATATAACAGATTGTGTTAATTAATATTTTTTGCTTTTTTTCAGAATCTACTTGTAACACAAAATTACTAACAAGTAATTTACCCATCTGTTCAGAAATGAAATGTCTTTTTTGTGACTATCAGTCTACGTTTTATTGTAAACCTCTGCAAGATGAGCATTTGTAAAAACATGAGTTCATATATTACATACTAATAACAATAGTTATTGTTATATTAAATTTATGTTTGTGCTGGTGTTCTATATTTCATTTCCAGTATCCATCGGAGCTACCATCCATTCATATCAAGACTCCAAGGGGATTATCTGAAGCCCATATTGAAAGGTAGGGTCAAATTTGATGTAGTTTTTGATCTTTCCTTGTAAGAATAGTGTAGTTGCATTAAATGACAGGTTACTTTGATAGCACAAAATAACAGTCTTGTAGGTCTAAAAAATTGATTTGATGTCTTTACAATGCCACTTTACAATATCAGTGTGTTGTGAAACAGTCAAGTGTGTAGAATTAAGGAAATTAGTGTGTGTGTATGCCACCAAATTACCAGTCTAAGAGCTACTGTAACATTAAAAAGAACTGTACAGCTGTGTGGAGAGAGACATAAATGAAAAGTATGCTCAACTGCCTTATAGCTCTCAACACTTAAGTCCAGTTTCTGTTGCATGAATATCACTACTTCCCCTGGATGGAATCTGAATGCTAGTCCATCACAAGTTACCACGTGACATTCTGTCAGGTTACCTTGGCCAACAATTTTCAAGTACTCATTTATACTCCTGGGTGGGGTTGTTCAAAGCGCAATTAAGCTAACCCAAAATTAGCGAGAATTATCATAAAGTTTTGTATTTTTTCGTTGAGAGTTTGTGTTTATATTGTTTGTCCTACAGTTTTGAGTTTGAATAATCTCAAACTACACAAAACGTAAGTGGTGAAAAACATTTGTGGACAAGGAAAATCAGTGCTTTGGTTAAATGAACTTGTAATCATGGGTTAGCATTAACTGGCTTTCAAACAACCCAGCCCTGGGTGGAGAGAGGCACTGTGAGAATAACGTGTCTTTCCTGCCAAAAAAGCAACAGAATGACCCTGGCTAGAAGCCTGAAGTTCCTAGACCACTCAATCCAGAGCCTAGGATGCTAACCAATAGGCCACCACACCATCCAAACTGTGAGAGACATTGTGAGACAGGAAACATGTCACTCAGGATCACAAGCTTGAAGCTGGTTCACTCATCATCATAGTCCTAGCTCTCCTGTGGGAGAATAGGTCTACTTGTTCACCAAAGGAAAGAAATGACATTTTTTTAATGTAGTTTTTAGAATGAAAAATAACATAAATTAATTCAAACTTGAAACTGAAAGTTTTCATTCTACGCATACTCTCTTTCACATGTTTATGTGGCCATTTTTTTGCAGCATTTTGGAAAACCTTAGAGAACTTGCAGAGGGTTGCCTAGGGAGGCCTATGCTGTATGAACTTATTGAGGTAAATTTAACGAAGGGAAATAATTACTTATGGGTTGTAGTGGTAAATATTGTTCAAAAACATTGTACAGTGTATAAATAGCATGTAATGGCCCAGTCCAAATGTGGCTCCACTCATACGACGGACCTAATTCAATGAGTTTGACTTTGGAGCGAAGGCTGATTCAGACAGCGTACTTGTATCAAATCGAGGAAACCTGTGGTAAAAAATTTTCTGTGAAAAAATCTGCTTTGTGAATTCAAGAATTCTGTCCAAATCGAAAAGCTGTTGCTAGTTTTTCATTGTATAAGCACTATTTAGGGATAGCAAATTCAGTTGCGAGACATTTGTATTTAATAGAAAGATTTTTGCTGTACCTAATTAAAATTGCAGAACCAAACTGTTTCAAGTGTCACTTCCTAACTCATCAGTTAGGTTTGGTGCATGCGTGGGTGGTGTTTGGAATGGGCTAACAGTAGTTGTCTGAATGAACTTTTACACAATAATTTTATTATTTGTCTTTTAGTATGCCAAGGAAAGTCTAACAGACAACAACACACCCAGCTGTGCTTGTGCCATCTGCCTTTGTCACTTTCAGGTTAGTATGTAACTTGAGGNTTGTGATATAAATACATTTCCAAGTATATAGGTAATGAGAATTAAGAAAGTCACCAAAGGAAAGAAATGACATTTTTTTAATGTAGTTTTTAGAATGAAAAATAACATAAATTAATTCAAACTTGAAACTGAAAGTTTTCATTCTACGCATACTCTCTTTCACATGTTTATGTGGCCATTTTTTTGCAGCATTTTGGAAAACCTTAGAGAACTTGCAGAGGGTTGCCTAGGGAGGCCTATGCTGTATGAACTTATTGAGGTAAATTTAACTAAGGGAAATAATTCCTTATGGGTTGTTGTGGTAAATATTGTTCAAAAACATTGTACAGTGTATAACTAGCATGTAATGGCCCAGTCCAAATGCGGCTCCACTCATGTGACGGACCTAATTCAACGAGTTTGACTTTGGAGCGAAGGCTGATTCAGACAGCATACTTGTGCCAAATCAAGGAAGCCTGTGATAAAAAATTTTCTATGAAAAAATCTGCTTTGTGAATTCGAGAATTCTGTCCAAATCGAAAAGCTGTTGCTAGTTTTTCGCTGTATAAGCAATATTTAGGGATAGCGAATTCAGTTGCAAGACATTTGTATTTAATAGAAAGATTTTTCTGTTCCTAATTAAAATTGCAGAAGCAAACTGTTTCAAATGTCACTTCCTAACTCATCAGTTGGGTTTGGTGCATATGTGGGTGGTGTTTGGAATGGGCTAACAATAATTGTCTGAATGAACTTTTACACAATAATTTTATTATTTGTCTAATAGTATGCCAAGGAAAGTCTAACGGACAACAACACACCCAGCTGTGCTTGTGCCATCTGCCTTTGTCACTTTCAGGTTAGTATGTAACTTGAGGATTTTTTTTTGGGGGGGGGGGG